TGGGCAACCTGGGCTAGTGGGAGGGGTCCCTGCCCATGGCAGGGGGTGGCACTGGATGGGCTTTAAGGTCCCTTCCAACCCAAACCACTCTGGGATTCTGTGAAATGACGTTCTGGAGGTCACGCCGTGGGGCAGTGACGGAGCTGTGGGTGCATTGAACCTCCTCAACTGCAGGTAACCCAGGGGCTGCCAGGCTGCCAGGCTGCCAGGGGGACCAGCCCGTGTATGAGAGCTTTTGCTTGCAAACCAGCTAAAAATGTTTTTTTAGCAAATTTTTCTCCAGCACAGCACTGGGCTCTCCTGGCTCCTGGGTGGAGTGTGGGGACATGACTCAGAGGGGCAGTCCCATAGGAGTTGGGATGGGGAAGGGATCATTATTCTCCCGGGCAGAAGCAGAGCTGTTTGAGCATCTGTCCTTGCAACCGTGTCCCAAACTAAGACCATTTATGCTTCAGCTGCAACATCTGCAGCAACGTGTTTGCCCAGGAGCATCGTACAGATGGGGAGATGTGGGGACCCACAAAATGCCCCATTAGATTGCTGCAGTGATGGAGGGACAGCAGGGACTGAGTAAGGTGAGCCAAGCCACCAAGAGCTTGTACCAGCGCTCAGCACAGCACCAGGCTCGTCGCAGCAGCCCAGCGCCAGCCGAGGGGGCTGCAGCCTGGAGCAGAGCACGGTGACACCCACTGCACACCCAACGCTTGGCAAGACCCCGCTCCCGACCTCTCCTGGGTGCAAGCAGCGTGGGTGGGAGCTGCAATCCAGCGCCCGTGTCCTGGGTGCTGCGGGAGCAGGCAGCAGGTGCAATGCCCATGGCGGGAGGTCGTCATGCGGCGCGGACGCGACTCACCCGCAGCTTGCTGATGAAGGCGCCTGCCTCCTCCACCGACAGCTGGCCCTGCTGCCGCGCAATGCGCTGAACCGTCTTGAGGACGTCCCCGGCCATAGTGACATCCCCGCAGACGTAGATGTGGCCTCCTTGCTCCTTCAGAGCTTTGAACACGGTTTGGGCCAGCTGCTCCTGCAACACGTCCTGCACGTATTTCTGAGGGAGGAGGAGGAGGAGGTGGGAGCTGAGATGAAGGACAGCTTCTCAGCCCTGTCCACCAGCGCGTCTGGCCGGCTTGGTGTGCCCCCGCTGCTGTCGAGGCAGTGCAATGGCACCACCACTTTGGGGGAGCACATCTGCACCCTGCAGCACCCCCAATGATAGGAAAGAGATGGGGCCAGCAGCAAAGCATCATTTGCTGTCGTATTTTCACACTTTCGCCCTCTAGCTCATTGCCAGGCTGGCTCAGGGCATCGTGGGGATTAAGATCAGATGTTTGTGGTGGCTCTGGGCCACCCCAATGGGTGACATCCCTCCTTGCCCACCTGCCTGGAAAGACATGCCTTTCCCCCCCTCATTAGAGCAGCTTCCAGTGCTGAAAGGGGGCTACAGGAGAGATGGGGGCGCTGGATCAGGGGGTGCAGGGACAGGATGAGGGGTGATGGGTTTAAGCTGCAGGAGGGGAGATGGAGATGAGATCTGGGGAAGAAATGTTTTCCTGTGCGGGGGGTGAGGCAGTGGCCCAGGTTGCCCAGAGCAGCTGTGGATGCCCCATCCCTGGAGGGGTTCAAGGCCAGGCTGGATGAGGCTTTGGGCAACCTGGTTAGTGGGAGGGGTCCCTGCCCATGGCAGGGGGTGGCACTGGATGGGCTTTAAGGTCCTTTCCAACCCAAACCCTTCTGTGACTCTATGATCTGCTCCTGCCTGGGGGGAACAGCTGCAGCCCCCCAGGGCAAAGCCAGAGCAAGGTGGGGACACATTCAGACTGGTGCAGGGATGGGGATGCGCCCTGGGAATGTGGCTGCACTGGGAAGGGCACAATCCTGCAACCGAGCACCCAGGGCATCATCTGCCATGGCTGTGCCAAGGAACCAGCATCTCCACCCCGTGCCGGGGGGGCCACAGCCGCCTGGGGCTGCACACCGGGACTGGAGCAGTGCCGGATGCACACCTTTGGTTTGTCCGGTTCCCGGGAGTAGGCTGTGTACAGCTCTCTGAAGACACCTTGGGATTTGGCAAAGAGCGTCTCCTCTTTGTAAATATGGTCGATCCTGGACTGCCGGCAGCCAAACACCAGGACCATGGGACAAGGCTTCAGACCTGGGGGAGAGATAGGGAAAACAGTTAGCCCGGCGTCCACTGATACCCCCTTTCTGCAAGCCACCTCCCTCCAGATCTGCCAGCAGCCCCAGCACCCTGCACAGGACTGCCAGGAGCCCTCACTGGCCAAACTGGGAGGGAGGAAAAACCAGCAACATAATGCAGTGTCTGCTCCAGTGCGTGGCCTGGGGTCACACGGCAGGGATGCTTCTGCCAGGTTTTGGGGGGAAATTAAGATTATTTTTTTCCTAAATTGTCCAAATGATAAGAGAAAAATATTTATTTCACATAAAACCAACTCCAGCACCATAGTTCAGCACAGGACAGACACGGAGCTGCGGGAGAGGAGCCAGAAGAGGCTACAGAGATGGTCCGAGGCTGGAGCAGCTCCCGTGCGAGGGCAGGGCTGAAAGGCCCAGGG